GAGAGAGAGAGAGTAGAGAGAGAGAGGAGAGAGCGAGAGAGAGAGAGAGAGAGAAGGAGAGAGAGAGAGAGAGAGAGAGAGAGAGAGAGAGAGAGACACACAGAGAGAGAGAGAGAGAGGCGCACAGAGAGAGAGAGAGAGACAGAGAGAGGAGCAGAGTGAGCGAGGCGGAGGCGGAGCAGCAGTATCTGATCTCTTCTGGCTCTGTGGATGCAGCTTTCTGACTGTCCAGTTGTATCCTGAAGGGACTCACTAACAAGCATCATTGAATGATGCACTATACTAAACCTCAGCCACTCACCTGTGGGCTCTATGCAACCTTTGGGGATTGAGATTACAAAGCAGGGACGGAAAGGACCCCAATGGACCCAACGCTCACTGAGGAATGGTCTCTTTCTAAAGGTAAGCAAACACACAAGGCACAATGATGCACTTAACCTGTTTCTCCTGTTCTGATTGCAAGGCAATGTATTGCATAAAGGCACTGTCACTGACATATATATAGAATAATTAGACAAAATGAGTGGCTGTCGAACAGCATGAATATGGGTCTTCAAAAGATTAGCCGAGTTCACTGCCTTCCACAGAGACCAGTTCTCCTGTTGTAGAAAAGCTCATACAACACAAAACGAATCAGAATGTTTAATGCCACCCACAGGACAGATGCATGTTGTACAACATACAGCTAAAAGAAGGGATGAGCCAAGGCAATTTTGCACACTTTGTGCATTTAAAAAGACTGTGAAGACTTCACTGCAGCAGGCATTAAACAAGAAGCAGTCGGGGACAGGACATGAAGGCTTAGAGCCAATGTAAGGCTGCACTTAGGAATTATTATATTGTGGTTTATTATTTGATGTATTGTTTGGTCAATAAAATGTGAGAAAATATTGGAAAAAAAACCCTCATCAGTTTTTTTCATTTTAAAATGATATTTAATTTTCAGAGTAATATCTGAAAAATATATATTATACCTTGCTTAAACCTCTACAGAAATGCAGCCTGGGGTGTTTCTGGAACCTGGTTGTTGATAGTTATACTGTAGGTGGTTGGCTGGTTGGGGGCCGTATACGTTTTGCAAAGTAAAGGATACATCTTTCAACAGGTCACCTTTATCTGCAGCTGTTTCATCTCCCTGTGTGGAGCCGTTGTTGATTTGAATCAACCGCTGTAAAATGTGTTGCGTGTTGCTTTTATTATTTGAATTACAATATGTACTGTCAATAGAAAGTGACTAATACTAAGACAGCCGGCAGGAAACCAGTTTACTGTTTTCAGTGCTCATTTATTGACCGGCACATGACAAGAACCATCAAAGATAAAAGGCAAGGACAAAAACTGATTAAAAACACAAACAGGCGTCCAATTAGCACTCAAGGAGTCTGTCAGGGGATGATACAATAATTAAAATAAGGTGGGAGACATGATGCAATATATATACACCGTGGGGGGGGGCTCTGATTGTGACGTGCCAGGTTGATACTATTTAACTGAAATATGACCTGCTTCTCCTTTGCAGGACCAGAGGTGGAATGTGGCTGAGAAGGGGCATAAGGAAAGGAGATGATGAAAATAAGTCATAACATGATTCACTATTTCTTTTATGCAGTTTATGAATTTAAATGGAAATGCAGGCTGTGAATGTTCAAGAATCAAAGAATCAATCTTTTCAATTGTTCTCCAAGGATATGACCTACACACTGCTATCTGGCCTTTATTGCAACTCGATGTGAAGGGTTTAACTGGGTCAAATCCAGAGGAGCAACCACACACACTATTCTTCTTGGAACTTTCTACCTGTATCAGGACATGATGACAAAGTGTGGTGGAGCACCTCGGGACGTGTTGAGAGACGTACAATACCTGAGAAGTGGAGAGAAGTGGAGACAGTAGGGTTGGCACTGGCATCATTTTCAAGAGGGAAGCGATTGAAGGCAACAGTCCAAGGCCTGGACAATGATAGGACAGAGCAATGCCTGAAAGGAAGCATTGATGGGAGTGCACTGCACTGATGTTGCCAGCCACATGTCCCCCAACATAGCTCTCTGTGTTTCACAAACAGACTTTTCCCTTTAGCTGAGTGGTGTTACTAACCCCAAAGCAAAAACTCATGGAAGATTTTTTGTCTTTATTGTCCGTCAAATCGAAATATGTTCAATTGTAAATCAATTGGATCAAGTGAAGAGCGATCTTTTCACGTCAGAATATGGTGGGATGGTTTGACATGGCCTACAAAGTTCCTTCTGGTCGCTTCGATTGCTGCTAAACTGTAGAGGACACTGTTGGGAGGCAGTGGTGAGTTTCAGCCCAATATCAAACCTATACTCAGTTATTTTCAGTCCAAACCTTACGGCAGGGGTGTCAAACTCAATTTCATCGCGGGCCACATTAGCATTATGGTTGCACTCAAAGGGCCGGTTGTAACTATATAAATATACATATATAAATATATAATAGATATATAAAATAATGTATTATATTACATGATTGCCTCTGAATTGGATTATTATCGGTTAAGGTAATAACTTAGTAATGATCTACGTCTGAAAGCAGAAGTCCAGGGTAAATAATTGCAACTCTCTTCAGTGTGCATGTCACAAAACGAGATAAATGTACTCATATCTGTACACTGGTCAATGCCTGTGTTAAGGGGGTGGACTTTCACATTTACTTTGACGCAGACCCCCAATGCCAATGTTTGAAAGGTGGCAAAGGGTTGCAAAAATATTAGCCTTAGACAATTCAAACAATATGCCGCAAAACTATCTGCAAATCAGTATGGCACGTTTCCTATTATATAGTACTTGCCGTTGACAGCGTTCTAATATCAATATGGTCACAGACTTCACATTCTACAAAAAAGAAAATGGCGTTTGGTGTTTTTGTGCAAAATATAGTGAAGGTGTACAATGAGTAAAACCCTTTGAAATCTTTGTAATGTTTGCGATAGCGGTGTTGTCACAGAAAACAGTTTCCCTCCAAATTGTATTTAAGCATTCTGAAGAAATCACCAATGAACCCTGAATCCCAATGATATCAGGATGAGCTATATGCTAAGCACTCCTTACCAAGATAAATAATACATGTCTGGTGACTTCATGAATTATAGTACTAAGAGTAGATTTCTTTTTTAAACATATTGTTAATACATTTCATTTAGCTTTCATCTTTATCCAAAACGACTTAAGATAAATGCATAAACCATTAAGATACACTGAGAACAACAAGAAAAATGCAGATGTATTCAATTCAAATAAGCCATACCATTGTATGCTTTAAATGAGCTTAACTCTTTAGGTGTTGATATTTAAAAAAAAATGTAGGATGTGAGGTGAATACCATATTATCAAAAGCCCATTGCCAAGGCAGCACCAGCTTTAAGTTCCCTGGTCCTGTGACGGTTTACCAAATCTCTGTTTTAAAAAATGGAATGCCACATTTTTTGAATATTTGTTGAATACAGCTTTTGTCTGCCATCTGTTCTCCAGGCCTCTTCCTATTACCAGGATCATGCACACATCCCCAGTGTGGTTCTCTGCAGACACCATGAGCAACATGACTGTGCTGGACACTGCTGACCCCTATGACCTTGACATGACCTCAGACAAGGCCATTTACCCTGTCAGCTTCCAGGTAATGCTGCAGCCTCACATCTCAGATATTGATATCTTCAGAAAACTGGTACATTTCCAGGTCATTGTAGGGTCGTGAACTTGGATGTATGAAATGTCAACAAACCGTTTAAAAGATTTCCTGGTTAATAAAGTATAAATTACATTTTCCACATTACAATGAGCATGAACTATTATGACCAAAATATCATTGAATGACACTTAATGGCAACATGTTCTTTCTGTTGGTAGGTTTCTTTGACAGGCTTCCTAGTTTTGGAGATAGTTTTGGGCTTGAGCTCCAACCTGACTGTGCTTGTCCTCTACTGTATGAAACAGAACCTGATCAGCTCTGTCTCCAACATCATCACCATGAACCTGCATGTGGTGGATGTGTTGGTGAGTCCTGACCTCTATTTACATTTATCAGTTATGTTATTGCCAAAGGGATTTAACATCAAGTGGTTGGTATATTAAGACTTCTGGAGCTACAGCAGTCCGCTGCCACTAGTTTATTGCTGATGGCATTGTCTGAGAGAACAATGCCATCAGCAATACATTTGTGGCAGCAGAATGCTAGAGAGGATCGATGGATCAATCACAATGCTTTAAAAATCCCAGGGGAAAATGTGTTTTGTGACAGTTGCACCATATCAAATGGACCGCTGGGAATGTTGATGATGCAAATATTGTTGATGAAAATCAAGGCAGAAAAAACGTTATTGTCAGATATATCCTGCTGCAGGTAAGACCATCAGACCATAAGGTGCAGCCGTTTTCATTTAGCACATTAAACTACACTCCAGATATAACATTTGACTCCTAGCTAATGCTGTTAGCTCGTCCATTCCATTAGCCAGTGATCCTGGGTTGCCCATGTTAAGACGGCAGAGACACAGCTTATATATCCTTTATGCACACTAGAGCTGGAGGAGATCTCTGCTCTGCTGAGGCTCCAAGAGATACTGTAAGTTAGCTTGAGCAGCACACCAATCAACTTAGCTCGGTTCTCATTACTTTCTATTCAAATAGCTTTATTGGCATGTCAAAACATGTTGTGGCATCGCATTGCATCACAACAGTTTTGGTTCTAGTTATAACTGGTGCTAAACAAAAAATACCAAAAAGAACGTAATGTGGGATATAACTTAAATTCCCGTCTTGTTTCAGGTGTGTATATGCTGTATCCCGCTGACAGCCGTGGTGGTGTTACTTCCTTTGGAGGCGGACACAGCCATGATCTGCTGTTTCCATGAGGCCTGCGTCTCGTTTGCAAGTGTAGCGACTGCTTCAACCATCCTGGCCATCACTGTAGACCGCTATGACATCTTAGTGCGGCCGGCCAACCGTGTGCTTACAATGGGCCGAGCTGTGGTTCTACTGGGATCCATCTGGGCTCTCTCCTTTTTCAGTTTCCTGGTTCCATTTATGGAAGTGGGATTCTTCATCAACTCTGATTCAGAGTTTGTGAACCAGACTGCAGTTGTCACAGTGTCTCATACTAATGAGTATTACACAGAGCTTGGTTTGTACTATCACCTACTAGCACAGATCCCTATATTCTTTTTTACAGCTTTAGTAATGCTAGTGACTTACTACAAGATCCTTCAGGCACTTAATATTCGCATTGGAACACGCTTTCAGCACAACCTTCCTAAAAAGAGGCAAAAGAGTAAAAACACTATCTCTTTGAGCACTGCGACTCAAGTCGAGTCAACAGACGCGTCACAGAGCAGCACAGGAGTCCGGGCAGGTGGGACTGCACCTTTGGGCATGCGAGCGTCAGTGTCCGTCATCATTGCACTAAGACGAGCAGTCAAGCGGCATCGGGAGAGACGGGAGAGGCAGAGACGGGTCTTCAAGATGTCTCTTCTCATCATCTCCACCTTCTTACTTTGCTGGACTCCAATAACCGTGCTAAACACCATCCTTCTCAGCACTGGGCCCAGTGATTTAACTGTTCGCCTCCGCTTAGGCTTCCTGGTGATGGCCTATGGAACCACTATCTTTCACCCGCTCCTCTATGCCTTCACACGACAGAAATTCCAAAAAGTTTTGAAAAGCAAGATGAAGAAGAGGGTGGTGTCTGTGGTAGAAGCTGACCCTACACCCAACAATGTAGTCATCCATAACTCCTGGATTGACCCCAGGAGAAACAAGAAGGTGACCTTTAAGGACACGGAAGCCAGACAAAAGTGTCTATGCTCTCAGGATATCGAGTAATGGGAATAAAGTTAACTTGTCAATTATGTAAAGTAATTGGGAATTTACCTGTTAAACGGGCTTTTTTTTTCACGAAACTGTGTTTTAGGGCTTCTTAAAATGTAATAAACTATGAATGTGTCATACTCACTTAACGGGAAGAAACTAAGCTAACTGACGAGATGAACCATTTTTACCGAAACAAAACACAAGTCTCACAAGAAGCGTCTAAATGAGCCCTGAGCGAGAAAATGCTAACGCACTTAGCACAGAACTCTAGGTATAAATCGATCGATATACTAATCGGATCTGCACAAACAAGCTTTGCTAGCAAGCTGAGATTCCACAGATTCTAGAAATATAAGTATCATCACTGAGCAATCAGAACTCGCGACAGGGGAAGCAAATACAGACAACACACGACGTAGCTTTAGGCAGCAAAAAACGGAGATATGCTCACCTTTTGCTGTTATTCTGATCAAAAGTTGTGTTCAATGAGATTAAAACGAGAAAAACGTGGCTGAAAGCTAATCCATAGGTTAATCCAATGTGTCTGTCACTTTGAAAAAATTATTGATAATCCATAATTCAATTTTTATGTCAAAAACTGAGTTTTCATATTAGCTGCTAATGATAGCTTCCAGAGTGTATGGCAGCTTCCTGTTTTGGGATTTCTGGCTAGGCGTCACTCTCACTCCTTATTTGGTAATGTGTGTGTATGTGGAACTTCCCCTCGAGGGGAGGCCAGAGATAGGTCAAATCCACCCAAATGACCCCAGAAGTGTTTTTTTTTGTGCCAAATCTCTCTAAAAAGGTCAAATGTCACTTGTTTTTGCATCAATCTTGATACAGGGTACTTATATGTTATAGTTTGGATTCCTAAAGCTTTTAGTCTACTATCCCATCATTCAAGGGTGGTTATCACTATAAGTAATGTTTTTTTTTTGGATGGACAAACATTTACATTTTTTTACTATGTTCAATCTGAATTTACTTTAAAATTAAAAAAATCTATATTGATTCTGACTCTTCTACATCCAACTCACAGGTTTATCATTGCTTTGAGAAAAAAGATTATTAATTTACCCCTTTTAGAAGTGAAGTTATAGTCATTTGTTCTGGGAATGTCATTTTCGAGTCTGAGACCTGGAAAACAGGCTCAGGGCTTAGCAGGTTAAAGGAATGTAACAGTCCATGGCACAAACAACCGGTGTTTAGATGAAGATTATGAGTATTGTTTATGCAAAGAGAGAGATCGGAAATATTTTTGGAAAAACACAGGAAATAATAATACAATGATGGAGAATATTGTATTCAACAAGTCTAACCAGCTAAATACACATGTGCTCAATAACAATGTGGTCTGAGCAGTTTACCTAATGAATAATACATTTCTGAAAAGATGTGTTCCTTGAGATCAGAGGAATAAAGAGATAACGTTAAAATAAAAAGTGAAACAATTGGCTGAATATGTGTGAGTTAAAGAATTGCATTTAAAGTTGTTTTTTTCGTCAGTACAAAAAATGTCCCTGAAGGGTACGAGCCATGATCGATGAGTGTCATTTGTTGCTATACACTTAAGAATTACATGGAGTATATGGAGCACTGCAGAAGTGCGTAATGTTTTCTGGTTAGTGCATTATGAGACAAATGTTTATGTACAGTGATAGAGTACCTTGATATTGCTTGTCACCTCTTTGAATAAACAATTAAGAATCTGTATGCCTCTCAATGTAGATCTGGATACAGGGAGTACATCAGGCCAGAGGGGGGAGATTAACACGTAAAATGTTGTTTCTTCCCAACTTTCCCCAGTTTTGTCCTGTAGTAATTTATTTATTTATTCTGCGCTTGAAAACAATTGGATTTTCTTCTAAAAAGATATCTCTGTCCTCCTGACAACTCAAACGCTCGCAGGGCCACTAGGTGGCGATAAAGGTTATCAAGTAACCGCAGTTTGGGAAAATCTACAACTTTGAATGAGTTTTACAAATCTCCAGTGTAAGGAATCTAAAATGTGTCTGTGTGTCCAGGCCACTACAGTGTGAACCATAACACACACAGAGCAGCAAAGCCCTCTTGAAAAATTGTTGGAATTGTTGAACAACAAGCGACCTGGCACAGCAGAGACCAGAACCACCTCAAGAGCTGCAGAACACTCAGGACGCTGACCCCATTTAAAAGGTCTTTGCAGTCAATGGAATATCCCCCAAGCAGAGTGTGTGTGTGTGTGTGTGTGTGTGTGTGTGTGTGTGTGTGTGTGTGTGTGTGTGTGTGTGTGTGTGTGTGTGTGTGTGTGTGTGTGTGTGTGTGTGTGTGCGTGTGCGTGCGTGTGTGTGTGAAGAAGTGGTCACAGCCTAGCAGGCGTAGGCTGTTGAAAGCACTTGCCCTTCTGATCCCCTTCTGTCACACAATGCCTGTGATAACTAAGGGAAGTACTGCACAGATAGCTGTAGTGGTTGCATTCAATGCATCAATATCACTATTTGTCAGCTGACACCAGAAGGTCACAAATTCTTCTGAACCTAGCCAGCAATTGTTGGACAAAACAAACGTATCATACACCTCCCAATAATGGCATCATTACAGTCTTAAATGTACCATGAAATGGTTTAATCATGAATAACTGTGAAAGGGTGGTTGCGCAAATATTTTTTATATTTTGTACCTTCTAGTAAAGGATTAAGGACTAACAACAAAGATTCACATTATTTTCAGTAGCTAGCCAATTCAAGTGCTACTTTCATTAAATATTTAACAGGCATCCAAGAATCTGAGTAAATAAATAAGTATTTGATCCCCTGCAGATTTTGTAAGTTTGCCCACTTGCAAATAAATGAACAGTCTATAATTTTAATGGTAGATTAATATAAACAGTGAGAGTCAGAATATCTAAAAGAAAATCCAGAAATTGACATTATATAAAAGATAAAAATGTATTTGCATTTAACTGTGGGAAATAAGTATTTGATCCCCTTGCAACAAACAAGGATTCTGGCTCCCACAGACCGGTTACATGAGTCATCTTCCTTTAAGAAAGTACTCCTAATATCAACTTGTTACCTGTATAAAAGACACCTGTCCACAGAATCAATCAATCAGATTCCAACCTCTCCACCATGGACAAGACCAAAGAGCTGTCTAAGGACCTCAGGGACCAGACTGTAGACCTGCACAAGGCTGGGACTGGCTACAAGACCATCAGAAAGCAGCTTGGTATGATTATTCAGAAATGGAAGAAAGACAAAATTAGCATCAATAGCTGGGGCTCCACACAAGATCTCGCCCCGTGGGGTATTGATGATCATGAGAAAGGTGAGGGATCAGCCAAGAACTACACAGGAGGAACTTGTTAATGATCTCAAGGCAGCTGGGTCCCCAAGAAAACTATTGGTAACACACTACACCATAATGGATCAAATCCTGCAACACCCGCCAGGTCCTCCTGCTCAAGAAGGCACATGTACGAACCGTCTGAAATTTGCCAATGAATATCTGAATGATTTAAGTCGCATTTACACCAGCCTTGTATAGTCCGGTTGAATCGAACCCTGGTGCTTTCAGCCGTTTGGTGCGGTTCGTTTGGGTTGGTTTGAACACAGTCCGAGACCTTTGAAGTGAACTAAACAACCGGACTCAGGTCCGCTTAAAAGAGGTGGTCTCGGACCGCTTGCAAGTGAACTGGAGCGGTAGCTGGTGTGAACGCAGTCCGCACCAAAACACAGGAAGTGTAGTATTTACGAGTCACAAGAACGCGGATGTCTTCAAAATCTTTAGCGGAAGAGTGAAGCAGAATGAAGTGTTGAACAGTGTCGTTCAAACTAAAAATGCTCCGTCAACTATACATAAAAGCCAGAGCCACCTGTCGTCGGTGAAACCTCCTCCTTACTGCAGAACGTCTCATTATATCATATGTGTTATAATGTTTTTTTATCGCACGTCGTCTGATTATATAATCATATGCGCCGTCAACTAGAGTCTGTTGATATGCTCTCCAGATTAACAGCAGCATGAAAATAACCTGCCAGTGCTCCATGGCGGAGGCTACTATGCTGACTATAACCCCCAGAACACCATGCCCACCGTCAAGCATGGAGGTGGTAACATTCTGCTTTGGGGGTGTTTCTCTGCTAAGGGGACAGGAGGACTTCCCTGCATCGAGGAGAGGATGTACAGGGACGTCAAATCTTGGCCGATAGCCTCCTTCCCTCAGCCAGGACACTGAACATGGGTCATGGATGGGTCTTCCAGCAGGACAATGACCCTGAACATACGGCCAAGGCAACACAGGAGTGGCTAAAGAAGAAGCACATTTAGGTGATGGAGGGGCCTAGCCAGTCTCCGGACCTTAATCCCATAGAACATCTGTGGAGGGAGCTGAAGCTTCCAGAGGCCAAGCATCAGCCTGAAAACCTGAAGGATTTGGAGAGGGTCTTCAGAGAGGAGTGGACCAACATCCTTCCTGAGATGTTCACAAACCTCGAGACCAACTACAACAGCGGTTTTCAAAGTGTGAGGCGCGCCTCCCCTGGGGGGCGCCAGAGAGCTTCAGGGGAGGCGCAGCGTGAGAAAAAAAACAACGAGAAAAAGACGAGTAAAGTGACACTTGCACACTTTTGGCTGTCTGTGGAGACCGAGTTCCCCCACCTCGCCAAAAGGGCTGTAAAAGTGCTCATTCCCTTCACCTCCACCTACCTGTGTGAGTGCGGGTTTTCCGCATTGACTTTGATCAAAAGCAAGTGCCGGTGTTGTGCCAAATTATGCACCCCCGTCATGAAATGCCCCCCTTGTCACGGGAACGCGCATTTCTAAATGACACGTTTACACCTTAAAACGATGTTTAAAACGAAAAGTAAACTTTCAGGGTTTTTATTAATGGTAATTTTCAGACTGTGAGTTGTTTAGTGGTAGCTCATATAGTCTTGATTGTTGTGGTTAAACTTTTCGCTCCGTATTTGATGGTAGTGGTGTCGAAATTCATTCGTCACTTCCTTTTCAAATTTTTTTTTAAATCTTTTTTTTTTGTTATTATTGTTACGTCCTGTCTGTATACACGTGCTTTAAAATGTATTGTTTAATTTTACATATTTGTCACATAATAATCAAAATATATGTTTACAAATGTTACATAGTCTTTGTCAGCATATTTTTAAGGGGGGCATGACAGGGGGGCATAATTTGGCACAACACCGGTCAAGGCTGCAGCCAGAGGATGATCGTTTATTCCTGTGTGCATCAAAGACGCAGACTCATTGTTCCCACTAAAGTAGGGGTGAGTGTAATAAGGAGGCACAGTTAACGTTCAGTGTGTTGCCGGGAGCATATAAGGATGTATCCACGATGTTGAAACTGTAAAAAATGTTTAAAAAATATGTGTTGAGAACACGGCGTGCGAAAAATATACGGGTCGTGCTACAGCTAAATGTTCCTGTCCTCTGTAAGAAGGTGTCGGCGACTGACATGCAAGGAAGAACGGCTGTCCACAGGCTGTTCCAACTGTAACAACTTTATTAACTTCCAGGGTAGTGAATTGAACATGCTATTGTAATTGGGTGTGTGGTATATTTTCGTGCACGGACACGCATGTTCCACAACACACAAACTGAACAACACTCAATTTTCCGATCGCTACCACTGTCCTTGCGATCTTGTTATAACAACAAAGTGCACGTTACTGATGCAATATGGTTGAGACCATTCGGGCTTATTCTGGGGTGCAAGGAATAGTCCAAGTAGTGGGGGAGTTTTATACAATATGTTTAAAACATAAAGATAAAAAGGTTTTAAAAAGTTATTGTTTAATGTTTTAAGGAGGTGACGCTACTCAGCCAATCAAATCGGTGCAGTCAGTGAGTCAGCACGATAGATTCAAACACACACACAGATACGAGACAAGAGGAGAGAAACAGTCTTCATTTTCTCTTACTGGACCTCTTTGAAATGCAATTGAATACCCCTGCATTATAGCAACAACAACAATAATAATAATAATAATAATAGCAATAATAATTGGGAGGGGGGGCGCGGCTGTTCTTATGTTCTCTGAGGGGAGGCTCACCTTCCCACACTTTGAAAACCCCTGAACTACAAGAAGCGTCTGACCTCTGTGTGTCCAACAACGGTTTCTCCACCAAGTACTAACACATGTTCTGCAAGGGGATCAAATACTTATTTCCCAGTTAAATGCAAATACATGTGTATCTTTTATATAATGTCAATTTCTGGATTTTCTTTTTGATATTCTTACTCTCACTGTTTATATAAACCTACCATTAAAATTACAGACTGTTAATTTATTTGTAAGTGGGTACATTTACTAAATCTGCAGGGGATAAAATACTTGTTTCCTCCACTGTATGTTTGTACTATACAGCAATGAGAAGCCTCCTATAGTCACACTGTATTATCATCAGATGAGCAAAGACCCTGCTTGGCAAATTTGTTTTTCAAGTTCCAATTAAAACATTTAATTTCGAATTAGCAATGACTTTTACAGCAAATAATATGCTTAAAATCATGTGAACTGTTTGAAATTCCCTGAGTTTCTGTATTAGTTGGTCATAAAATGTAATCTGATCTTCATCAAGTTCATCAAGTATAGACAAACGTAATGTGCTTATGCTAAGTGAATCATTGGATTGAATAACCAGTTGAGTGTGGTGTGAAAGGCTCTCTTGAGAGAAAGCATCTCTATTGCCCCTTTCACACCAACGCGGTTCCAGGGCCGGTTCGGAGCTTGTGCCTGATAAGCACCCATTTTTCCTGTTCACACCGCAGCGGTGCCGGCTCTTTTCCCTGAAAACCGGTTCTTACCAAGCTCGAAAAAATTGTCGGTCTAGAAGCAAGAACCGCATACGTCACGCTTACGTCGGAGGGGGGCGAGATTAACCTAAGCTAACAGTTTATGGCGAGTACGGCAAATACAAGTTGTAACCAGCAGTAGCTCTGAGCAAAGTGACTAGAACGCAACCACACACTTATAAAAAAAACACACTTTATAAAGTCAGGCAACACTAACCAGGCTTCGTGTGATTCTGTTCATTTGTACCTTACTTTGACCATCCGTTCTCTGTTATTGATCATTGTGGAGAGCAGGCAGACGTTTTGTTTTGTATTATAGCAGCTATCGGATGGAATCAATACATGGGCTGCACAGGTTGTCATGTCCGACTATCACAAGTAGAATCATAATGAAAAATACGCCGGTAAAATGTGACTGTAGAAAACGGCTTATGCCACATTAGGACAGCAACAAGTAGTCAAGATAGTCAGTTTAGCTTCGGTTGCTATGCTAACATCACCCATTTTATATCAGAGACACTTTCATAAAAGCGTTGTGATTAGGGGTGTAACTGTATCCGTATTCGTCCCGAACCGTCACAGTTCGGCACATGCAGTCACACAACGAATACGCCTTTTTTATGAGTGGGAAAAAAGTCTGTCACTCAGGGCAGTATCCATTACACTATATATAATCCAGGGGGCGGTATTGCGCCTAAAAGCTGTTTGCCAGCCGCCCTTAAACAACAAAGAACAAGAAGAAAACAACAAAACGAACAAAATACAAGAAGAAGAAAAGTTAGTATGGCGATTTCAGATAACACACAGGAGCTAGAAGACCCACCTGCTTCTTTTAAATCAGCTGTGTGGGAACATTTTGGGTTCCCTGTGGACTACAACAACGATGGAGTGCGAGTGGTGGATCGGACGAGGACGGTGTGTCGGCGTTGACAGCGGTGCGGTATGCTAATGGTAACACACGCCAAACATGCTAAATCATATCAGAAGGCATCACCCAGATTTGCCAATCACCGGAGCCCGGCAAAAGACAACAGCAGTTCAACAGCTTATCCCCGCTGTTTTTAAGAAGCCAATAGACATGAAAGCCGAGAGACCAAAATAAATAACGGAAGCTATTGGCATATATATTTCAATTGCTATGCGCCCTTGAAACACTTTATAATTTATTATGTAATATTTTCAAGACATTCTTTTTAGTTTTACAGCTTGATGAAACCTTTTTGTTTGACATCAGCCATTGTAGATAATATGGCCATCTGAGTGTGTGTGGTACTGTTTGTGGTTTGTTTTTAACTGTGTAATACAGTTAATTATTCAAAATGTTCCTTATTTGTATACTGAAACTTGCTCTACTGTTCAAAATAAATAACATCAAACCTGGAATTATGCATTTGGGACTCTTTTTTGCTTTTTCTTGTTGTACCGAACGCGTACCGAACCGTGACCCCCAAACCGAGGTACGTACCGAACCGTGAATTCTGTGAACCATTCAACCCAGTCTCACGACATTTCGTGTAATAGTCACGAAATTAATTTAATCTATTGATTCGTGTTCACCAACACGATTTTCGCATTTTTTTCGTGTCACACAGAACGATTTTAAATGCAATGTATTTCTATTGGTAGTATGTTTCGTGCCTGCACCACGTCTTTTTGTCCGGTCGGGTCTTGGAATACCAGAAGCTGTGTGGTTCATAAAAACATTTTCTTACTCAATATCTTACCCTAAGCCTAACCCTATCCCTTTTATTTTAAATTGTATAATGTCTGAGTTTTTTTGCCGTCCGCGAGGAAAAGAAATGGCTCAGAGCCTCAGAATACTGAAATATGTATTTTTTTTAATCTTTTTTTCCTTCTAATTTGTTATTATTTGGTGCAGGCACGAAACATACTACCAATAGAAATACATTGCTTCTAAAATCGTTCTGTGTCAGAAAACTGAAATCTGTATTTTTTTTTATCTGTTTTTCCTTCTAATTTGTTATTATTTACATTGCTTTTAAAATCGTTCTGTGTGACACGAAAAAAATGGCAAAATCGTGTTGGTGAACACGAATCAATAGATTAATTTCGTGACTATAACACGAAATGCCGTGAGACTGTGTTGAACCATTACACCCCTAGTTGTGATGCCAAACAGCGTCAATTCATACTGACACACATTAATTTATGGGGAATTGGGGATATTTATCAGCTGCTTGTGTGACAGTCAGACAGTGAATACTTTCCAGCCGCTGCTGTGAGTTAGCGGGAGAATAAACTCCGGTGGACGAGCAGCACTGCAGCGGTCGGTAAATACCGCTGAAACGCATTAATAAACAATGAATTGTTGTTATGAGCGCCATTGGGGAGAAAATCAGCGACGTAAACGGTGACGTCATGACGCAGCAGCGGCAGCACCAGTCGGGCTCTGGGCGGTGTGAACAAAACGGGGGCTGAAAAGAAAAAACGGTTCCGAACCAGAAGAGCGCAAGCACGGAGCTAGAACGGGAGCTGCGTTGGTGTGAAAGGGGCATATGGGGCTAATGTCTGAGCACTGATTGGGCCACTCCTAAAGGAGGATTTTCAGTTTTAGATATAATTCTGTAGTAGATTTGTAGAGTTTTCTGTAAGAATCTGCACTGGTGAAGGGACAAACCTACTGGATGTACTGCTTGCTGGTACACTACAGCAACTGTTGTAGTTGTGTAGAAAGAGAATTGTACCTTAAATAAAGATGCCTGTCCTTACCTAGTTCGTTGAGGCTCTGTGCAGCCTTGGTGATCTCCCTGCTGCCCCCCTGCAGCTGGCCCTGCAGCCTCTTGCTGAGGTACAGGATCCGTATGATCCTCCGCAGCAGGTCACAGGCCACCTGGAGCAGGAAGAGATGGACGAGAAAACATGGTGAGATACGTGACGCAAGCTTCAACCCAATATCCAGGGCATAAGCAGTAAATATAGCTCAGATCAGAATGAAAGATTAATTATTATTGAATAATTCACTTTGTTTGATCAGGGAGCAGCACTTTGGTTAAATGGTTCTCTCCTCTTCTCAAAAACATAGTGTACATTTTAAGAAAACACTGAGCGATCTGGTTTGTCAGTAATGCTTGCTTTCAAAGCCAGGCAGAGCTACAAATACTACACTTTATGGTTGCTATGCCAATGCATAGCAATGGTAACCATGGATATATTCCTGCTCTTTAACTACACCATGTATCTGGAGGAAATACAGAACTTATTCATTTTGGGTAGACCAAGTTCAACAAAGATGGAAAGCAAGAAAAGGTTTATTGAGTTGTGCATGTGTAAAACCCTGAGAGAAGGACAGCCCACTTTAAATAACTGACAGCAAGAAGGATGTAAGTTTAATGATAGGTGGTTAGAGGAGGGGTGAAGGATAAGCTGGAGAAGAAGGAGAAGGAGGAAGAGGATGAACAAAGGTGTATCTAGGGGGTGAGGGCCTCTGTGATGCTGTGTCCACCTGTCAATCAGACTGAGTATGAGTATAATATATATATATATATATATATATATATATATGGTGTGAATCGATTCAAATATTTAATAGCGTTGACCACTATAACAATCTGATTAATCAGGACTAATCACAAGTATAAATTTATAGAATGTATCCCGCCGAAATACAGGAGTAAGTTGGGATCAAACTTGGTAATGTGATTCATTTGCGTTCATTTCGAATGGACTCTGCACATTTGTTCCAGCTTACTGCTAAATACCAATTAAACCAATGACTTGACTCCCAATATTGTTTTAAAAATACTTTTATTGATTTAAAAAATCATCTTATTGCTTCCTCTATTCTCTTTTTCACTGGAGAAGCTAAGCCAAAGTGAATCCAAAGTTTCTCTCCACAAAAATAAAAAGTGTATCTTCAAATAGTATCCCACAGTCTTTTCTGACGGAGGAACACAGATGTTTTTTTTCAGCCACCGCTGACGATGAATTGACCAGACTTCTTTCGGATAGACCGCATATAGTCCCTGGATCAGACCACCCTTAGAAACGGCCCGCCATCCGAGCAGCTGTATTCTAGCGAGACATCTGAAATTCCAAATTGACCAAAATAATTGTGTATTCAACTTAGCGTGTAATAAAAAGGTGAAACAAACTGTTCACACCGAACCTGTTTGGGGTTATGTAAATACAAACTGAGGTCCGTGTGGGCTGGTTCAGATCAAACAACTAAAACAACCCTCTGTTAAGCCCAAGACGGTCGACTTGTATATATTTAACTTTTCAGTTCTGATTTATTTTCTATTTCTATTTTATGTTTGTTTATTTTCTTCTCTTTATATTATTCAAATGATGAGCAATGCCTTGTTTACTGCTGTGACTAAAACAATTCCCAATTTGGGATCAATAAAGTATATCCTATTGTAACCCATATGAAATATAGGGCTACTAGACCCCTTTTTGTCATTTTGTCTGAATACATGTTGCTTCTGCTCGGAGCGCTCTAGAATGTACACCAAGGGTGATGAGTGGCGCGAAGCACTCCGCCTCTATCCTTCTCTTTCCCTGTAAACACCCTGCAGACGTAGAGACAACGGTCGAGCAGCTTTTGGTAAAGTTTTACATAACAGCATTAACAAAGTTGTAATCCGTATTCAAACTATGATAGTTAACAAACTATCATTTTACCAGAACCCCTGTGTGAATCCAAACTAGGAAACGACAGCCAGTGTCAATTTATAAGTGTGGACACTCCGTTGAGTTGAGGCTTCAGCTCTTTGTTAGCACTGTGAAGGGCTAGCCTGCTAATAATAATAATAATAATTATTCATTACATTTATTAGAGCGCTTTTCCAAATGCTCAAGCACTTTACATAACATATTACACATATCAGACTTGTAACAGTGAATACTGTGGACAATACCCACAGGATCAGATTAGGGTGAAGTGTCTTGCCCAAGGACACAACTGCTAGAGGCAGGTTTCGAACTGGTGTTCCCCAATGCCCTTTGATCAGAGGATCAACGCTCTTGCCCACTGTGCCAAAACCACCCAACAATGGCAATGACAATGACACTTCATTTTTGTTGTCAAGTAATGGTCAAGATACATTTCATGTAAAAACCATCAACCAATCAGGGTAATGAAAGTGATGTATTATGTTTTGTATGTACTTTGGTGCACATTGTATCATTATAAACAGGGGTGCACATAACTGGTACGCATGCGCGGCAAAAATCCGAATTGCTTAATGTCACTTGCGTCACTACGCGCCTTTGCGTACCTCAATACATCAAAACAAAACACATATTTTGTCTACACGTGTTTCTTGTCAACACTCAATGAAGTAAACTACTAGACATGTCAAAAAACCCAAAGACATAAAGCAGCTACGTTGCCGTTTCGCTCCCTGCAAAAGATCTTCTGACTTTCTATGACTGATTGAACTAGAGCTGGGCGAGCCGCGCAGGACATAACCGACGGACCTGTGAAGCTTTACAGGAGGCAGAGGCTTAGATCACTGGACGACAGAGTTCTTCACCGTGTGCACAGACAGGGTTAACATCAGTATGAACAACATAATTGTGCCAAAACTCCGCCAATTGGCTGCAGTGGGAGACTCCCCTGTGCACACACTGGAGAATTGCACAAAATCAGCTGATCACAACGTTCAAGCTGCTGCAGTTGTATTTACACCAAAGTGGAGTGAAATACACAATTGCAAACTTACTTACGGTGTTAATGGAAGAGTTTGAAATCAGACAGAGGTGGACGAAGTACTCAGATCTTGTGTAGGAATACTCTGTTACAGTAAAAGTCCTGCATTCCAAATGTTACTCAAGTAAAATTAGAAAAGTATTATCATCAAAATATAAGTACTCCTTGTGCAGATTGGTCCATTTCAGAATAATATATATGATATGTTTTATAATGATTGATCATTAAAGTGTTCTCAAAGCTGGTAAAGGTGCAGCTAATTTTACAAAGTAGATCAAAGTCAAGTCAAGTACAAATATCTCAAAATTGTACTTAAGTACAGTACTTGAATAAGTGTACTTAGTAACTTCCCACATCTGAAATCAGATCTGACTTCAAGTCATGTGATAATTTCTTAGTATTTGATCCTTCAACTTGGCCTCAGGAAATGCAAGGACTTCACAGTTTTGGCAACAAGTTTTGGAGAAAGCAAATCGGAGGCTTAAAAAGAGACAGGGAGGTGCATCTTCATCATCTAGCATGCAAGTGTAAATAGAGGACAGTGAAGGAGACACTGAGGAGGACCACGCTTCGTGTGGGGTGAGTACCAAACGCTGTCTCCTGGTACTCATCTGAGTAACTCACAAAAAAAAAAGTTATGTGCACCCCTGATTATAAATACATTTGAATAAGATCGTTAGCTTATGCTAATCGCTAGCTTATGCTAAGCGCTAGCTAGCGTTTACTGTGAGCTGATGCTAAACGCTGGCAGAAGCTAATGACTAACCATGCTGATAGCATAGCTAAATATTAAGGGAGCATTGCTCTCGTTTTACTTAAAGCCACTCTCTTTTAGTTAGTTAGTTCGGGCAGCGGAGTATTGGACACATCGCAGTTTATTGAGGATGTATGCAGGGGAACCATAGAGGATGCTGTTGCAGTAATCCAGTCGGGGTGTATTGAAGGCATGGATCAGAGTTTCAGCAGCGGTGGATGAGAGGGAGGGTCTGATGCGGGCAATGTTCTTTAAGTGGAAGAAGGCGGTTTTTTTTGGTCGTCGGCATAACAGTGGAACCGGAGTTGGTGTTGACGGAGGATCTGTCTGGGAAGATGTAAATGATGAAAAGCAGGGGACCAGTTACAGAGCCCTGGGGGAGGCCGTGAGTGACTGAAGCGGTAGGGGCTTTGAGGTTGTTGATGGAAATGAATTGTTTTCTGCCAGAGAGATATGATTTAAGCCAGAAGAGGGCGGTGCCGGTTATGCCATTGAAGGACTGAATGTGGGTGATGAGGATGGAGTGGTTTATGGTGTCGAAGGCGGCGGTTACGTCAAGAAAGATGAGGATGGAGAGGAGAATGTTATTTGTGACCTTGAGTAGAGCAGTTTTTTTGACAAGCACGCTTTGACAAGGGTGGAGAGGATGGGGTCCAGGATGAGGGTTGAAATTGTCATGCCAGTGACTAGGGAAGCTAGGTCAGCAGTGGGGATTTGAGTGAATTATGTAAAAGGTTGATTCGAAGGAGGAGGGAAGGAAGGTTCGAGGAAAGGATGGGTGGTGGAGGAGCAAACCTTGCTGCTACAACCCGCTGCTGCAGATACACTCTTTACAACATCAGGAGGATACGTCCCGTCCTGACCCAGAAAGCGACGCAGCTTCTGGTCCAGGCTCTCGTCATCTCACGCCTAGACTACTGCAACTCCCTCCTGGCTGGTCTACCTGCATGTGCCATCCGACCTCTGCAGCTCATCCAGAATGCAGCGGCTCGTCTGGTCTTCAACCTTCCTAAATTCTCCCACACCACACCGCTCCTCCGCTCCCTTCACTGGCTTCCAGTAACTGCTAGAATCCACTTCAAGACAATGGTACTTGCGTACCATGCTGCCCCAAGTTCCCATCAGCAAAAACACGTCGGTTTGCTATCCTGGCTCCAAAATGGTGGAATGAGCTCCCCATTGAAATCAGGACAGCAGAAAGCTTACACATCTTCCGGCGCAGACTGAAAACTCATCTCTTTCGACTCCACTTGGAGCGATAGAATTACTAACAAAGGATTGCTAACAAAGCACTTATATACTAATAAAGGACTGGCTTATCTAAAGCCAGTTGAGTAGCACTTCAAATGTTTTGGCTCTATGAAACCTGATGTACTTATATGATTCTGTTTTCCTCAAGTTTGTATCTTGTTGGTCGAATGCA